GGGGGGGGGGGGGTATGCAGGGGAGGGTCGCCCAGCACTGTTGCGGCGTGGCCGCCCTCTCGGCCGGGGGCGGGGGAGCCGGCCCCTCGCCGCTCCGCCGGAGGCTTTCGGACGCGGCGGACTTTCGTGGCGCATCGCAGTCGCCGGCATCGCCACAGCGCATGGCCATGGGACACTGGGATGCGTAGACGAGCGAGGAGCCGGGAGTTATGTGCGCACGCTAGTTGAAGCGCGCCGCGCCGCGCGAACACTGAGCGCCGCGTGTGCGGACCCGGCCGGCCGCTTGCACGAAACAATCTTTTTTTACGCAGCTCTAGCCCCCCTACGTCCAGCGGGCGTTACTGCTGGCGGTGACATGTCAGCCCCCTGGTCTCGTGGTTAGCATCGAAGTACGAAAGAATAGACCTGAAAGTTCATAAATAAAGCGTATGCCAGTTGCCACACACACGGAGCACACGGTCATCAGTCGGCCGGGCCCACGCCCGCCCTCATATCGTCATAGCCGTACCGGCCCTTCAAAAGCAGCAGCGTCAAACGCGGACCCGTCCCCCTCGGACACGGTCCGCCAGCCTCCGCCGTTTGCCTGGTCGGGGAGAACCGCGTACTGCTCGTCCAGGCCCGCAGCCTAGTCGTAGGGAAGGAGGGGAGGTGTCAGAGGAGAAGCTCCCGCGACAACGCCCGTCGCACTGGGCGTGTAGGGGTGGCGCAGCGGCGTCTAGGCAAAGCCCATGGCGTTCCCGGCCGAATACGTGTCGAGGCAGGGTGTCGATACATATCCACAAGGGCTCACCGCCAGAGCCGCGTCGTTCAGCTCGAGGTCAAATGCGTTGGTTGCTGCACGGGCGGCTGCGGCGTTCATCTCCTTCGACTTTTTGGAGTTGCCGGCGCAGGGTCTAACTCTCCGCCACGCACAGCAGCAGCCAAGCAGCGCGACCCCGGCCAACAGGGCACCACTCGTGACCAGAGGCGGGAGCGAGCGCGGCGGAGGATTGAGCAGGGGCGGCAATGCAGGCTGTGGCAACCGCTGCGGCGGCGGCGGCGGTGGCGGCGGCGGCGGTGGCGGCGGCAGCGGCGGCGGTGGCTGCGGCGGCGGCGGTAGTTGCAGCGGTGGGTCGGGCGGCGAAGGGGACGGCTCGACCGCCACTCGCATCGGACGCCACGGCGGTGGCAATGCGGCTTCGGAAGGCACAGGCTGCGGGGACGGCTCAGGCCGCATTGCTGGCGGTGGCTCTCGCGCCGGTCGCCACGGCGGCGGCGCGGCCTCGGAGGGCGGTGGCAGCGGCGGCAGCTGTGGCGTCGGAGACGGCGTCGCATCAGGCGGCGGTGCAGTGGCTGGCATTGCCGATGGAGGCGGAGCGTGCGCATGGGCCCCGAAAGGCATCTCTAGCAGTGTCGTTACACATGCCCCCTCCCCTCCTGGGCGCATGCGCCTCACGTCTCGCCAGAGCATAAGCCCTTGGCGTGTGGCGAGACGAGTTTTTCGCCATCGCAGCGAGCAGCAACCCGCCCGCCGCAAACAGCCGGAGGCCTCGCCGCGGCACTGGCTGCGCCGCGGTCCCGCACCCGTCGACGCAGCTCCCCCCGCGGAAGACCGCGCGTAGCAACGTCTTGACGATCGAGATGAGCGTGCCTGAAGCTCGCCCACCTACTGCCCCTGAGAGTTGGTTATTGAGTGGGATCAGCTCCCCCCCTTGGGATCGAAGCCGCCACAACCTCACACCCAACATCCCAGGCGGGATCAGAAGGGGACTCCACACCGGACACCGCCCGGGCACAGCCCCCCTACCCGTCGGATCGCACAGAGGGCCCCCTCGGAGCAGCCCACACACAATCACGCATCGGCAGATTGAGTGCCTGAGTCAGGCATCTCTCTCCCTCGAGAGGAAAGGGCGGGCGCGAAGATTTTTCTTGCAGCAAACTCTCTGTGGACGCTGCGAGGGCGCCGCTGCGTGGGCTCCTCTGCCTCTCTCTCTCTCTCTCCACCTCGAGGTGCTGCTCGAGCTGCTCAGGAGTCGTGAACGTGGCGCGATGGGCATGGGCAGTGGCGGCGGCACGCGGCCCGGTAAAAAGATTGGCGTCTGGGGCATGGTGGTCGTCGGCTTCTTCTGGGTGCACGGCGGTGAGCACCCAGCCGCTCTCCGCCCGCCACCGCGCCCCCGCAATGCGTGTCCGCGCCAGCGCTTAGCTTGGCTGCACGGCGCCGCGCCTTCAATGCTGCTGTGTGCGTCGCGGCGTCGGCGCCGCTCTTGCCACCGCCACCGCCACACCGCCACCGCTCAGGCATTTACGGCAACGAGGCGATGCTGATGGCGGGCCCGCCGCTCTACGTCTTCATCATGCTCGGCGTCGTGCCCTTCGTCTACTCCCTCCCCATCGCGCTCATCGTCCGAGCGCACAGATGCGGATCACACTCCCTGATGCAATCCACATGCTGTCCCCGCGTCCACCTCGCCCTTGTGTGTGTGTGTGTGTCGCGAGGCGCGGGCGGTGGTGAGCGCAGCCCCTGCGTGCGCGTCGTAGGTCGCCGAGCTCTCCACCGCCTTCTATTAACTAACTATTAATTAGGTGGCCCTTAACTGATTACCTATTACTCAGGTCGCCGAGCTCTCCACCGCCTTCCCGGAGGACGGGGGATACGTGGTGTGGGTGCAGCAGGCGTGCGAATTAACAATTATTAGTAGCTAATTAATGGGGGGCTACGTGGTGTGGGTGCAGCAGGCGTGCGCATTCACAGTGAATGGGAAGCTAATTGATAGTGGGCTACGTGGCGTGGGTGCAGCAGGCGTGCGGGAGTGGTGGTCGGCTCTCACCACGCCTACTGGGTCTAACCCTACCCCTACCCCTACCCCTAACCCTATCCCCAACCCTAACCCTAACCCCAACCCTAACCCTAACCCCAGGCGTGTGGTCGGGTGGTCGGCTCTCACCACGCCTACTGGGTGTGGGTCATCTACGTGGTGGACGCGGCTATCTACCCCGTCCTCGTCGCGCAGTACGTCGACACGATGGTCCGAGAAGCGAGTTCCGGCCTGACTAGTCAACCATCTCTGCCCGTCAGCGAGAGAAGAATGAATTAGGTCCCGATGAGCGAGTTCCGGCGGGGCATCCTCTCCACCGCTCTGGTCGGGATGGTCACTGGCATCAACCTGCTCGGCACAGACATGATGGTCGAGCTCAATTCACCCTGCTGTGGCGGCCGTCTCGCTAATGGGTTATTGGCTAATGAGTTATTAATTAGGTCGAGTTCACCACCCTGCTGTGGCGGCCGTCTCCCTCACGGAATATTCGTTAATGGACTGCTGAGCAGGTCAAGTTTAACACCCTGCTGGCGGCCGTCTCGCTCGCTCCGACGGTGCTCTTTGTGGCAATCGGCATGCCCAGGCTCGAGCCGGAGAGGACGCTGCCTTGTATTTCTTAAGTATTAGTTAGCTATTCATTGGCTGTTAATTAGGCTCGAGCCGGAGAGGACGCTGCCTTGTATTTCTTAAGTATTAATTAGCTATTCATTGGCTGTTAATTAGGCTCGAGCCGGAGAGGACGCTGCCTTGTATTTCTTAAGTATTAGTTAGCTATTCATTGGCTGTTAATTAGGCTCGAGCCGGAGAGGACGCTGCCTTGTATTTCTTAAGTATTAGTTAGCCATTCATTGGCTGTTAATTAGGCTCGAGCCGGAGAGGACGCTGCCTTGTATTTCTTAAGTATTAGTTAGCTATTCATTGGCTGTTAATTAGGCTCGAGCCGGAGAGGACGCTGCCTTGTATTTCTTAAGTATTAGTTAGCTATTCATTGGCTGTTAATTAGGCTCGAGCCGGAGAGGACGCTGCCTTGTATTTCTTAAGAATTAGTTAGCTATTCATTGGCTGTTAATTAGGCTCGAGCCGGAGAGGACGCTGCCTTGTATTTCTTAAGAATTAGTTAGCTATTCATTGGCTGTTAATAGGCTCGAGCCGGAGAGGACGCTGCCTTGTATTTCTTAAGTATTAGTTAGCTATTCATTGGCTGTTAATTAGGCTCGAGCCGGAGAGGACGCTGCCTTGTATTTCTTAAGTATTAGTTAGCTATTCATTGGCTGTTAATTAGGCTCGAGCCGGAGAGGACGCTGCCTTGTATTTCTTAAGTATTAGTTAGCTATTCATTGGCTGTTAATTAGGCTCGAGCCGGAGAGGACGCTGCCTTGTATTTATTAAGTATTAATTAGCTATTCATTGGCTGTTAATTAGGCTCGAGCCGGAGAGGACGCTCGTCGCACACGGCGAGCTTCGATTCGTCGCCCAATTAATGATTACCATGATTATCTTAGCATGACCTAGTCAATAATCATTAACCAGGCGAGCTCGACTCGCCGCTGCCAATTGAGAATGAATGATCGAGATTGCGAATGAGTTTAATTCGCTACTAGCTGTTAATTAGGCGAGCTCGACTCGCCGCTGCCGATTCATGATTACTGACTGATTGCCTGAGCATGACCGAAGTAATAACCATTAACCAGGCGAGCTCGACTCTTCGCTCCACTTGAGAATTGACTAATCGAGACTACCAGTTAGTAGCTACTATTAATTAGGCGAGCTCGACTCTTCGCTGCTTGTCTCGTGGATCCTCTGGCTGTACTGCGGCTTCTTCTCGCTCGGCGCCGCGCTCGCCCGGCGAGCTAGAGAGACCGCGAGGTGCGGTGAGAGATGCGGGGAGATGCGGGGAGATAGGCACGCTCGCCGGCGAGCTCGAGCAGCCGCGCCGCACCTTCCTCATCTCGATCGGCATCCTCTTCCCCGCCGTGCTGCTGCTCAGCACCGAATGAATGTTCATAATTAAGTAACTGTTAATTAGGCGTCCTCTTCCCCGCCGTGTTGCTGCTAAACACCGAATGACTAGTTCATAATTAAGTACGCATTAACTAGGCATCCTCTTCCCCGCCGTGCTGCTGCTGAACACGCTGCCCCTCGCCGTCGCCCTCTCCCTCGACGACGTGCCCGCGCACTACTCGGCTTGCGAACCTAGAAGCGGATCTCCCCCACATCTCCCCGCACCTCCCCATATCTCGAGCCGTAGAAGCGGAAGGACACGTATTCGTGTACTCCAACCAGCGCTCGAGAGGACAGTCAGTCTCAGCCGGCGAACCTAGACGCGGATCGCGCACTCTCGTCCAACCAGCGCTGGAGAGCACACACGTGCCACGCTGTCGTTCGACGGTCTCCGGCTGTACGTACTTGTCTCCGTACCCCTCGCACTGAGATGCTTGCCCACGGCACACACACTCACTGAGACATGCCGCCGGAGACGGTCGAATGACAGCACGACACGCACTGTCTCCGCACCGCCACTGCTCTGCACACGGCGCTACGATGGCTGTGCAAAGCCTCGGGGCGGGGAGATATGGGGAGATATGGGGAGATATGGGGAGATATGGGGAGATATGCACCTACACGGTGCTACGATGGCTGTGCAAAGCACCGCCTCCCCGCCCCGAGGCGAGGTGTCTTCAGCACGGTTGGATGCCTAAATATCCCTACATCTT